CCTCCTCGTGATGCATGGATTCCCTGCAGGGTCTCCCTAAGGCTTCTTTGGGGCCTGGAACTACAGTGGGGACCAGCCAACAACACCCACTGGCACCTACCAAAGACTTGTTAATAACGATCATGCATTTGATTAGGGTTCATTGGGAGTTAAACTGAAAAGTCATCAGGAAGGACCTCAGCTTACTTTGGGGTACGGGGTTCCCCCAAGATAGGCTGGACTTCATTTAAAGCTTTGTGGTTGCTCATCCCTCCTTACGGCAGCTGAATCGCGTTTACTGAGTCCCGGCTAGCATTCAGCCTGTTAGGCACACTGGAGAGGCAGAACTTTGAGAGAAGTGCAAGAGGTTGTCCCTGCTTTTGAAGATCTTACATTCTCAAGAGGGAGGCAAAAAATTCACTCACAGAAAAAAGCTTGACCGAGCTCTCTATTAGCTGGTCCTGAACTGTACTTGGCTTTGTGTCTATCCTAGTACTAATCAGGGCTTGGCCAGGCTAGACAGATACTCCATGAATGAATGTTGAATGGAAGGCATAGAATTAGGAAGCAAAGTAGTGATGTGAACAAAAGGGGCCGGGACGCCAGAGAGAGGGATCATCGAGGATTAGAACATCTCTGGAAGGTTCAGGAAACAGGTTGACAAGTAACATGAGTCCTAAAGGAAGAGTCGGAGTTATGGGGAGTGGTCAGTAGGGATGGCACGTGAAGTGGGCAGGGTTCAGCGTGGCCATGTGGGGCCGGTAAGTGAGAAGCCTGCACTCGATCCTGGGCAAGGAGGAGCTCTCAAAGGATCTGGAGCAGGGGAGTGAGACCATGAGAACAGCGTTTCTGGATGACAGTGCAGAGGACAGGCTGCTAAAGGGAGACCAGGCTAAGGTTACGACAATGACCCGGGTGAAGGAATGAGGTCTAGGTTTGAAAAGGAAAGTACGAACATGACATTTCAAAGGAAGGACATAATTGCCACAAGGGCCACCAGAGAGCAGTCAAAGGTGCCTCCAAGTTCTGAGCCCTTGTGACCGAGACAAGGGTGTTAACTTTGACAGAAATGACATTGTGTGCGGTTGACAATATGAGACCACATCCTCTGGGTAATGATTCACTGTCTTTATTAACAACGCCCCTGGACTCTGAAAGAACAGACCGTTACTTCACAAAGCAATATTAACATTGTCATTCTCTACAAGAAAAACTTTGGCATAAATAACTTAAGTGAGAAAATAAATAGGTAACTTAACTCTTTAAAAACCAGTCCTTCCATTCCTGGGGACAAGTCCCACATGGAAGGATTACAGAACCCACCAGCTCAAAAGGCTTTCATATGGCATGTGCTTCTGTCTAAAATTTTTTTCTTTTAACAATTAAAAACTACGCAGAAAGTAAGAGGTGTCTGGAAATGATTTTCAAAAAGTTTTTGGGTAGCAGCTATTATGCTTTGCAGTTTCTCAGCATATGTACAGCACTTGTAATTTTTACCCCAATAATATTCTTTTAATGTAAGATATACCATCACATGGAAGAGCAGTAAAAAGCATTTTCTAGGCAGAAATGTGTCCATGAACAGTGGGCAGGAGGAGGTACCTCAGAAGGGACGTGCTGGTCTTTGAGTGGGTGGTGACTGCTCCCTTGGGCCTGCAAGCCCAGTGTCCTGGGACCTTGAACTTCTCTTCAGAAGGTGACTTTAAAACATGGCCATGGTGCGGGAGAGGGACACTGCTCTTTGGGAACAGTGTGCATGTGTGTGTGTCTGTGTGTGTGTCTGTGTGTGTGTGTGTGTGTGTGTGTCAGGATTTCTGTCCCTCCCTCCACCCCTAGAGCCCTCTCCTTCTCTATCCCAGTTGATTGTGTTATTTATTTGAGATGGAGGGATGGAGGTGGCCAAACATCTGGAGAAGCTGGGAAACAACACAGCTTCTTCCAGGGGTTTGTCGGCCATAAGTATGTAACCCATAAATAGAATCTTTTCTTTTTTCCTGCTTGTTTTTCATCGTTAGCTGTCAGATCAGAGTGTCACAACTCAGAATTCTGGGAGTGACCCTGGCAGTGATTCAATCCAACCTCTCTCTTTTTTTCTCTCTCTCTCTGTCCTCTGCCCATTCAAAAGGCACCTGAATCATATGACAGTAGATTCCCCAAGATCCTAATCCCCCACCCCCATTTTACAAACAGGAAATCAAGATCCTGAAAGAGAACTGTGTAGTCCAAGGTCACACAGCAAGTGAGTGGCAGAGCCAGGAGTAGAAACCATATCGACAGACTCCTGGTCCAGCGTTCTTGGTGACACGCAGGCTTTGCAATGGGCAGAAAGGTGGAGGGGGCATCTTATCGAACCTTCTTACACTCCCCACTGCTCCCTTGAACCCCCCCGGGCGGTGACAATGCTCCCATTTCGGCCTCCTCTCAAGTGGGTCCGGCAAAGGTGGGCGGCCCAGCTGGCCGGGGCTGCGTGGCTCAGTGTCTGTGACTCTCCCTCCCTTGCCCTGCGGGACCCCGTCGGCGGACGGGGAGAGGGGGCTTTGCTGGCACCCGGGGATTCCGCGGGGCTTGGAAGGTTTTAGGCCCCTCCCCTGGGTTGCAGGCGTTTAAAATGAAATACAAACAATCAGACCGCGCGCAGAGGACAGAAACCCGGGGGCGCCTGCGCGGGTGGCGGCGCCGGCTGGGAGGGAGGCGCGGCGGGCGGCGCGCGGGCGCTAGTAGGCGTTCTCCAGCTCGGCCTGGTTGGCTTTGGGCCCCCGGGCGCGGGGCCGCGGCA